GTCAATTTTTATGGTGTGAATATTGGTCTATTACAATGCATCTTGTAGAGTAGTGCAGCATTTTGTGGCTTATTTTTGAAGTCAAAACACCACTGATTTGTAAATTACAGTACGCAAGCCTGAGCTAAGCTATTTGGGAGAGTTGCGAGCGATAATAACGTTGCCTGACCTGCAAGCTAGGACAAATAAGGGCGAGAAAGTACAGTATGGATCTTCCGATTTGGTTTTTTTTTTTGAGAAAGAAATCAGACTTGAAAGGAACCACGCGTTTGGTTTGCGTTTGGTTTCAAATCAGAGATAGTGACTGTTTGCTTTTTATCTTGATCACAAAGCTTTTATACTGTATAAATTTGAGGAGTATTGAATCACCACTAAACGGCTAAAAGCTTGAATTTGGTAGCAACGTCTTACCTGATCTGAAAGTTATGAGGAGCGAATCCTACATTCATCTATCCGAAAGCTGTAGCTTGGCTTCTTCACACCTTCCTGCAATTTTTGTCTTTCGAAATTTTTGACGCTGTCCGTTATTTTACTGAATTTCCGTTGTTTCATTGTATCTGAAAACCTTGAAGATGCTGCCGGCGTTTATGAATTGCGTGATGTTTTGAAGGTTTAGAAGATTTTCATTTTGTTTCACAAACTCTATAATATTTTTTGTGTTCCAGGTCATCACTTCCCGTACAAAGTGCTCCAGATGCCCCCTATATTCGAGGCTTCAGCACGGTTTCCGGTTTCTCTAGAGGAATGTATATATATTTTGTTGGCTCAGCTGTTCAACCCTACGAACCTTTTATTAACTCCAATCTTGGAAACGAAAACCGCACAATTACTAAAATAACCAGGTTCGTTCTGTATAAATCTCATTTGGGAATGTGGATGCAGAATTCTTAAAATATTTTTCAGGATATGTTCCTCTGATCTCACTTCACAATTAGAATCTCGGATAGATCTTGCCATTGATTGTGGATTCGGAGGTGAGTCTGCTTTTGTGAGCTGTCGAAGTTTCGTGGAATTTTGAACTATCTTTGGTGTAATCCATCATTTTGACTGGTCAGAAATTCGTTGCCTTCTCATCTCTAATCGTTAAATACTTACAATTAGTACAGAAGCACTTACATTAGGAAATCGATTTTTTTAAAGACATCAACAAACGGGTAGAAGCTTCGTATTATGATGCTATACATGACCAAATCACTGTGGTTCTGAAAAATGATAATCATAATGTGAGTTCATGTTTTATTCATATTGTTCTGCTGGATATATGTGTAAAATAAACACTTTAGTGGAGTATTTGTGCATTTTCCATGACAGATGTAGAGGAACGTTTCAACAGGGATTGGGATTTATGTCAAAAAACCACAAGAGATAGTGCAAATGTAAGTAAACAAGTAATCATTTATTTCGCATCTAAAACATTCACTTTACAAATAATATAATGGGGCATATTCATTGGTCTCTCGATCTCTC